CCCCGCGCGGGCGGACGGACCGGGCGGGAGATTATAGCAGCTGTAGGGGAGCCAAAGCGGTCGGCAAAGTACCGTCGCCTCGGTAGTTCTCGTATCAGCCTACCGAAGGGAAGGGCAGAGAAATCGAGGCTGCTGCCAGCTGGCAAGGGTTTGGCGTTTGTTATCGCGGGCACAGTGAAGGCAAGCTTAAATAAGGATTTGCGAAGGAGTAGGGTTGGAGAGGTTTAGAGGACTGAGGAACATTACCTGTGAGAAAACATCCCAGGATCAGGAACATCCATGGGGAAGTACCCATAGCTACCAACAACTGAAAGAGAAAGGAGAAGGCAAGAGGGAGCCAGTTAGTGGACTGAAAACAGTACGAGAGTTTGCAGGACCCCTCTCCTGCAGGACCCTGCACTCTGCATAGTGCCGCGGAGAGGAACGGCCCCGGCACCCTGGCTCGCACCCGCGGCCCGTTGAGGTGCGTGCCACCACCTCCCACGAGGTACGTGGGGCGCACAGCTAACGTGCCGTAGCCCCTTCTCTCCACCAGCAGCGTAAGGAGCCAAGTCCTGGCACATCCCTCTCCGGAACAGCCCGCAAGCAGCCCTGATGCCCACTGCAGCCCCCAGGACTGAGCCCACGGAAACACCCCTGCACAGATGCCGTATCCCCACAGGCATCGGTGAGGATGCAATGGCTTTATGCAGTAAGTTCTGACCTTTTAGCTGCAAGCAGCTTTTATGGGAGAAAAAGCATATTTAAAAGCTGCGTTTATTACAAATAGTACAATCCTGAGTGGTATTTTTGTTTTGCCATTGTACATATCTATATATATAGCTTACTGAGTACAATGCAATACAATAGTGTTTATTGCTTATTTAGCAAGAATTCCCTTGATCGAGAGACATGCTATTTAAAACATATGCTGAAATTTTCTAATGGAATAAATCCACGACAGACTGCAGGCCAGCACTGCCATTCACAGAGCATCTCTTCTCCCCAGCAGCGTGGAGAGTCACAGATCATATGCGGTAATTTCAGCTTTCAAACAAACAAACCTAAAGTTTCAGTCTTGAAGAGGTGACAATAGCACTAGGCACCTATGTAATTTTTGTGCCATCGAATGACATTTCTGCTTAAAATCCTTGAAAGCAGCCCGCCAGATAATTTCCAAAGGAGGAGCTCCTCCAACCCCTGCTCCCATTGAAATCAATGGACTTTTTGTTGGTGACTTAAATAGTAACTGGATTTGGCCCAAAGCCAATACAGATTAAAAAACGTCTGCACGGAAGAGCCCCTAATCTGAAACACAGACCAAGGAGTAAAATAAAGGATGATATGCCAAGACAGGGACCACTTTTCAAAGGTTCTGCAGAGGTTCTCTTCACCCTCTGGTATTCAGCTCCTGATGCTGAGATAGGAAAGCACGTAGGTACATCCAGTTATTACGACTGTGCCAGTTCCATATGGGAGTTAAATGCTTACAACATGCCAAGGAGTGTTTCTGAACCAGACCCTCTCTCCTCTCACAACGTGTGGGGCAGACAGCAAGCTTTTGCAAAGCAAAAAGTATTTGATAGGCGAATCAAACATAATGGTCTCAGAAGCAGGATTAGAGGACTTACAAACTACCAACCCCCGAAAACATGTACAAACAACTTCGGAAATTCAGCTGACAACATTCCAGCAGAGACAAGGCATTTTGCCTGATTCTTCAATTAGCAATAATTGCCATGTGTTTATGTATCTGTCTCTCATTGATAACAGGCTCTCGGACATCAAAGAAGTCCCTCAGTCTCAGTCTCTTATTCATTTTTATCACATTTATATCCTGTAATTTATTTCTGATAAAATAACCCACTGTAAATCTTGAAAGACTTACCATGGTCTGCTTTTATTGATCTGACTCCTAACCTCCCAAGATCCACAAGACAATGTTACCCCACTGTCTGCCAAGTTTCTTTCTGCCTTTTCTCTCTGAAAAGGCAGATCTCTCGCTCTTTTGTGTTGTTTTTGCAGACTATTCAGTGCAAGTGATGCAGCACAGAAGGAGAAAACACAAAGCTAGCTCAGCTCTTGCACATCAGTCTGCAGAAGCCCTGCTGAAGCAGCCCTACCTTGTTGCAGAGCTGTGTCTGTAAGTGGGGAGTGAAGCCCTGTGACTATACTGATGTAAGTACAGGTGATGACATTTCCAAATTGCTACTTGGAATTTGCTCCCTTGGTTGGGCTGCCATAGGCATCAATAAGAGTTACCTCAACGTACCCTTGCAGTTTAAAAACACAAGGACTTAAAACTAAATTTGCATTTTCCAGCTAGCTATTCTTCCACAACCCAGAGCTTTGATCTGTCCTCAATGACGTGTTAATCTCATCAAGACCCAGAGCAACACTTCCTTACTGTGAAAGACAGAATAATGTACTAAGGATGCACTATCATCTGTACTCAATATCTGTTTGACTTGCATTTAATTGCATTGTGCATCTGACTTAAGCATGCTGGAGTCCCATCTCCAATGTATCCTCACACATCAGCGCTGGAGTCAAGGCTTAGTGCAGGTACAATTTCACGCTTCTGGACAAAAGAGAGTTTACTTATTCCCACAACACCCAGCAGGTATGCTTACCATGTTTTCATTTATTTATAACCACCTAAATTTTTGTATGCACTTATTTGCCTTTTTTAACTTCATTATGGCAGAGCAGCAATCTTGTCCTAAATCACCCAAATCTCAGCCCTGAATAAATGCAACAGATTCAGTTCCTGACACCGCTCCATCAAACCATAAATTGGCATAACTTCACTGAAGCCAGTAGATTTATGCAAGCTGAAGCCCAGTATTGACAGCACACATACAAAGTAAGTTTGAGCCAACCTTAATTCCTTGCATACCTTGAACATTGCTAGCTAAAATAGAAACATGAATGTGTATAGAGAAAGCTACATGATGCCATGAAGGGTTTGCCAAACTCTCTGCAGGGGAGGCTGATTGCCCAGGGTAAAACAGTCATTGCATCGACTTTAACCACTGGGTTTTGAAAGGGTCTGGCTGAAATTTTGATCTCTCTCTTGTGTGCTTTAGTGATAAAAAGAACATCTGAAGAACTGTTATCAGCAAGGAGTCAATCTTCTAAACACTCATGGCCAAGCGCTGGCTTCCTACCAAGATGGGTTTCATGGACTGCACCACAGAAGACAAAGTAAAATCAATATCCAGAAAGCTGATGGAAATACATGTTTAGAAAATCATACCATTCCTAGGTGATTGCTCTACATGACCTAGAGAGAAAGCACCGTGGTGGACCAAGAAGAGCCAGTGGTACGTATTTTTCATACTGCTGTAAATCAAAGAAAGTCCTCTTTCAAGACAGAAAACTAGCCCATCTACCAGAAGACTGGAGACTAACAGACTTCCTTCCCACCAGCTGCCCAGTCACTACAGTTCATCCTCTTGGCCACAGGATGGCAATGTTGATCCACATTAATGAGCCAAAAGTCTTGTCGAGCACAAGGCAACGCTAGTCTCCAACGTGGTAGGTGGAATCTAAACTGGGTCTCCCGGATCAACTTAAAATTCAAATTTCGTATATTTTCATATATTTTCACTTCATGCGAATTCATCGATTTAAAAAAAAAAAAAAGTAATAAAGCCAAACCGGTCCCTATTGCTCTGTATTTACATAAGGGATACGACAGTAGTTGGATTGCAAATCTTGGCACGTAATGATGTGATTATCCTTGTTATGAGAGGGCTGGATAACTTCAGCAGTGATTTTGTCAGAGTGGCAGTCTGTCTTTCTGGGAAGACTGATCTTTTCCAGGAAGAACTAAAGCCAGCCCAAGAAAAGCGGGGAACGTTTCCTCCTTGTGGTATATGTCACTAGCTGAATGTAAATGTTCAGATGGGACCTCTTGAAAAATTTCTTAGTTCTCAATTCCCAAATTGCAAACGCAGTTCTCCACATGAGCCAAGCTGCCCTGCAGTGCTAACAGGCGGGTCTGGAGGTTTCACCAGGGAAAGGCTCAAACAACACAAGATAATTTCTTCAATTTTTTCATGGAAAAATTTGAATGAGATTGACATAAATGTTCTCCTAAAATGAGGTTTATTCCACATCCCTCTACAAGTATTTGCATCCAGCATAGCCTGTATGCAGAAATAAGTACACACCAAGATCAGCCCAGTGTTGGGCTCATGCAGTGCGTTTCAGGCTCTGCAGGACACGCGGGGATGGCTGCTACCCAAGGAGCCTTCCAGTCAGCCCCAATTCTTCATCCTAACCCTGAAGGGCAGACTCCACCAGTCTAGGAGCTAAAGGTGAGGGGAAATTTGCAAAATCTAAATTTCCCCACTCGGTCCAAAGAGGATTTTCCAGAATCTCTCAGGAAACAGACAAAATGATTGGCACTTCCAAGGAATACATCTCACTTAGGTCCTCAGAGCCCAACTAAAGTGCTCAGAAGCATTGCATGGAAAAAACAGTCCATCTCTGTTGACCACAAGAGCTAGGAAGCCTAACTGTTGCAAACTTTTCCCTCGGGTGCCCGTGCAAAGCTTTATTGACTTGAAAGAGATGACTCAAGCAGGAGAGCAAGGCAAGAGGGAGAGAAAGGATTGTTTGCTTACTTGCTTGCCGTGTTTAAATTATCAGCAATTCTTGTCACCACCAGGAAAATAAAGCCTCAGAAGTCATTCCCTGCTCTTTAAAACAAGTGAAACAAACATCTTCTGTTAAAATTTTCAGACTTCACATGCAGAAGTAGTGCCATTGTGGCCATGATGATCTAAGGATGCAGCAAGGAGAGGATTGTATAAGCTTACATGCTTCACCCTCATTTGTAGACCAACTGGTAGAGCTGGAAATAACCAGCAAGGTCTGGGGTGTGCAAGACTTTTCTGTCTCTATACATTGTACTCAAATCCTAGCTCAGTGCCGCAGTACTGCAGAGAGGTATTTTATTAAAATATTTATTACTTCCTGCTTTCTTGAAACCTAATACCTATATATTACTCTCACAGCTGCATGAAGATTTCCCAAACATCAACAAGCAAGTAACAGCAAAGATGGCCCCAGCGTCCCATGGCAGCCAGACTGGCACACCTCCTGCCCCTTGGTGCCTGGAGAGGAGTGCCAGAACAAGGGGTCCCATTTTAAAGCAGCAGGAGAGTGCCTGCAGGCTGGGAGAGCTGGTTCGCTTGTGGACTCCTAAATCCCAGTGCTTTGTGCAGTCTCATTTTTCTTCAACTTTTCTTTTTTTTCCAAGCTTTGAGGTTGGCTAAACTGCTGTTTAGCTGAGGGCCTTTCTAAAATGCTCT